ATCATATTCATGAATACAAATGTTTGTACCGTGCGAGGAATCGAACCCGCGACCATTGGAGGAAATATGGCTAGACCACAAAGGCCGTCAAGTCGTGAAATTGGTTAACAATAGCTAAAAATGTATTATATTAAGAAATAACTAACTACTTCCGAAGACCATTTGTTAGAAAATTTACCTTGGTAAAAATCGATGTTCCAAAGTATAGCGTGGCCTTCTGGGTCCTTACCATTTGTCATTGACATATGCACAGTCGTGTATTTGTGTTAGCAAATAGTATTTAACGAAGTACGTAAACAGTGAATATTGTGTTTTTCAATCAAATTATACCTGACAGATGGAAAAAATATAATATATTTTATCAGTTTTGTGTTTATTAATTAAAGATAAAAAGTATAGTAATTGTACAATTCAAACAGCGCCATCTAGTCTTAAACCAGCAGATCTTGTGTTACGAATACTAAACGACTAATAGAAATAATTAAATACATTTCTTTGTAATTATATACCTAATGTAGATAGAATACACCCAGAACAATATAAAAATCATAATACTTGTGAATATAAAACTTTGTATCGTGAGAAGTATTGAACCGGCGAAGTGAAGTAATATACTAACGAGCAACTAAGTCGGCGAAGTCGTCACTTACTACAATTATACACAGAATAATTTATTGTTTTTTACAGTCCAGCTCATTCTTACAAATAATTATTTTTATGAATGTAATAATATACTTTTCTTCCGGTTTTATATGAGTAATGTTCCGATTAACATATTATTTAAAAATAATGTGCGCATACTTACTTAATATATATGTTACAAATAGATGAAATATAAGTACCTTTACACATACTTAATACAATTATTTTAATAAGCACATTATTATAAATATAATTGTTTATAAAACACACATGTGGTTAATATACTATTTAATTAAGTCACAAACGTAGTAATCTATCAGTACTGTATGTATACATATATGTATACACTCACGTCACCAATTGGTCGATATAGGCGGAACACTGAGGTGACGAAGGTGAAGAATCGTAGAAATCGATATAAAACAAACAGTAACACGACAATTAAATGGTCACGATGTAAAAGGATTTTCCGACGAAGACCCATTAAGTAGATTGTATATTTTATTTTACTATTATGGTTAAGTACGAGGTGAGCTTGACATATGTAACTTTTTTATGAACTGAAATAAAATAAAAACACAAATTTTAAGCGAAGCTTATCATAATATAATAGATTAGTGAATACTGCAACCAATTAGGGTGAAAGCCGTTTCTATGATTAACGTGCATATAAAAATAGACATAAATTCTAACAATTATTATTGTGGGTTTTATTACGCTGATAAAGTCCCCTAATAACAAAATGTTTTTACCATATATCTTTCATGTAAACACAGTTGCAGTTACATTTTTATTAATATATATATAATATAACTTATTTACTCAACCTATGTTTTACTTTTTATTTGCATGTATGTAAAAGCTGTCTATCAAATCAATAGGAAAAGGTTTGTTTACAAAAAATCGCGCCAAAACATCCGATTTCCTTATCACATGTTGTATGTTGGGGATCATCTATATCGATAATAATTATGTCAGCTGTACGTTCGTTTCGAGGAATAAAGTATATCGTGATTATTTTTGTATGTGATCAAGTGTTTACCATTATCCATGAGTTATTCATAGATATGAGTTGTTTTTGTTTAGTATGTTACTAATCGAATGCACCGGTGTCTGTCAACAAGTTTTAGTTCAAAGAAAACAGTGACATGTTCGTAATTCCTTGTCGGCTTAAACGATCGTTAACTGGACTTAATTTGAAGTCGTTTCAGTACTCTGTAATCATCTCTGGGAGATGTTGGCAGTTGATTTCTTGCTTAGTCAGGTACAAGGAATCGTAGTAGAGGAAAATAAAAACATTATAATGTGAACATTTAAAAAACCCAAACCACACTATTTCATTAACAATGTGTTTATTGTTTCCAACAAATTTTCTGCAAAATCTGATTAATAATTTAATTAACTGTAATAATTTTATTCTATTTAATTTGGCAGAGTAGTGGCTATCATACTATAAATTTTTCGAATTGTGACTAATATTTAATGTATTTCAATACGTAATATTTTTGTTAAGAATATGAAGCGATATGTTAATTTTACGTTTTTACGAAATAATGAATGATGTAAATAAAAAAAACCCTAAGCTCATTTAATATGCAAATAAACATGGAGTTTGCATTTAAATGTCCCAGTATATTGAGGATATAAATTCAAATTAGAACCCGCATATTGTCTGTGACATTGTATCTTGTTTTATACAGTACTTGGGCGACCGACCTGGGTAACTAAATGTCTATAATATTATGTAATATGAAAATGCAGATCCTGTGATTTAAGATCGTACTTTATATATAGCTATTGTTTGTAGAAAAATAATTATAAAATAAAATATACTGATAGTACTGTAGATACTATAGTATATAAATAAAATACTATAGTATATATGCAATATATTTGTGGGCGATAAAGGAAACCAGGGAGTTGTAGGATATATATATATTGTATATGTTAATATTATAAAGAAACACTACTAACTAGGGCCAGGAAGGGAAACCGAAAAAGAACAATAGATAGTAGTGACAATTTAGAAGATAATTTTGGTATTCGAAATATAAAACATAAAATAGTTATAACCAAATAAGTGGCCTGTATTCCACAATATTTATATAATAGGATCGGATGGATCTGATATAACATATAAAAAATAATAGTTGAAACATACAATACGAGAAAATACAATAAACAATAAACATTTATTATAATGTAAAGTATAATATTTTTTCTCAGAAATTATTACAATTGTTTTTAGTTCTATTCAGTATTATATTAACTTTAGACTGGTACATTTGGAGCAACAATTCTATTATAATGTTACAAGTCCACAAAGGAAGATGTTGCGATATCAGTCGGAAGTTTGATACAAGTTGTGAAATTTCGTAATACAACTGGCAGCCATTTGTGCAAGATGTCTTAGAATGAAGACATCGTCTTTCATTTATTATGTATAGAATACCTAACTAACAAAAGTAAAACAGAAATAAATCAGTATTTTACGATTATAATATTATAGCTACTTTCCCCGGCTTTGCACGGGTGGGCATGTATTATATATATAAACCTTCCTCTTGAATCACTCTTACAATTATAAAAACCGCTTCAAAATCCGTTGAGTAGTTTTAAAGATTAAAGCATACATAGGTACGGACAGACAGCGACAGCGACTTTATTTCATTCTATGTAATTAAGACTAATTCGTGTAACATAATCAATATTGGACATCAAAATTTATTAGTAAATTATATAATATATACAAGATTGAAGGTTACATGCGTGAATTGTAATCAATTAATAATTGAACACATTTTTTTTCTTATTGAAATTACTATTATATACACTTAATATTATCCAATTAGCTATATACTCAAGAATATTGGGAGCTTACGAGTGGTAAGTGAAAAATCATATTACGGATGATATGCGACTAATTCAGTAGCTGAAATGGAGTAAACTAGTAATAGGGATGGTAAAGTCAAGTCTATTAAAATTTTAAGTCAAGCTCTTCTGTCTACCTTTCAACAGCACTCTAAAGGACGGTACAAGTATTGTGGTTCGCAAGGGGACTCAAATTAAGACCTGAGGGATACAAAGCTTCGAAAAAAATCGATTTCGAGGCAGTTTCTAGAAAAAGTTAAAGAATATTATGATGAAAATAAATTAAACAATATTTAAAATTTATTATCCTTAATTAGTTCTGGTTAAAAAGAATAAATGATGACTCATATAAAATTTAAATCCATACTAATATTATAAATTCAAGTGTCTTTAAATCTAATTGGATTTTAATAAAATTTTATTATGAACTTCATATCTCAAAAAAATATCTGGAAAGAAAATGTAAATTCGGAAATACGAAGTCATTCATAAGAAGTTATTCATAAATATATTTATTCATGTAAGTCCACCAACAAGACACTTAAGACATTTTTTTTCTTTTTTATTAATTTATATCGGCCTTATTAATCCGACAGGAAGTGGGAAGCGGCAACAAGCTTAAATCTACTTATTCTTATTGGTGCGCGTACAGGCAGTAGGATTCCTTATCAGGGATTACCTCTGGTGATGACAATATTAATTGAGTAATGATTACGGAACTTTTATAATGGACCATAAATATTGGGATGATATTGAAAAAATATTTCTTCGTCTTGAAGAAACTATTAAAATGATTTCAAAATGGAGAAGCCTTTTAATTTTATTATATATTTGCAATTATATGCGGCATTTAAGTCATATTTAAACCGATATAGAAGATTTTTTTAATCATGATTTATTTACCAACACTTTTATGTTAGTAATTGTTTATTACTACTTTCAGTAAATGACCACAAGCAATATCACATTACTAAACTAGTCAAAAGGCACAAAACTAATTATGCCATGTTGTAATAGGTAAATGTATTAAAGTTTTATGATATAGTGAATAACAACTATTTATAATTGATTAATTAATTTCTGACTCCCGTTTAAGGGAACATCGATATCAAAACAAAAATATTCCGAGAGACGGAAGAGACGGCGGTACTATACTATATATTACCGTCTGTCAGATTTTGTTTTCAAATACTCCAGCGAAATGTGGACATGTCAAGTTGACATTGCCTCTGATTATCCCATCGCGTATAACAGTCGTGACGGTATATTTATTAATAAATGTTACAGGAACAATATAAAAATATATTGATTTGTATATTTGTGCCATGTCTAAATAAAGATTACAGCATATTATGTACATAACTTATCTTTTTGTCAACAAAATATGTAATAAAGTGAAGTGCGGTGGTATCGTCATAATTGAAATACCAACTCAATAAACAAGATGTGGAAATTAAAATAAAAAAAAAATAATAAATATAACGTACCTCCTGGGTTGAAATTCTTTGGTTGTGGAGTGACAGCAGTCGCTGCACCCGATGACCTTCGTGATCTGAAATCAAAATATATCCATATATCTCTGACATTCAAAAATATTGTGATTTAATAATTTCACAATACAACATTAGGAGTAAGCATATATAAAAGAATATTTTAATGTACCTACATAAAATATACTTGATCAGTAGCACATTACTATTGCTTTTATTGAATTATGTGGCATTTCACGGAAGTCCATGTCCATTACTTAATTAATTTATTTTATTTTGTTTAATTCAGAGGTAAAACAAGTGTTGCAATATGGATGTAGATCCAATAACGGTCGGAATTTGACCACTAATACAGTCATAAAGCTTATTGCACTAAATATTTGTGGTCTCACAGACACTAGTGTCAGTGGAAATAGACAGAATGGTATAAATTCATTCAGTAATGACAAGGACTATTATAAAATAACACCAAATTCGATTTAATCAATAGTAATATTAAAAAAATATACCATGGTCGCCATTACATTTTTCAATTTCAAAGAAAACGACTACAAGAACAGTTATTTGTTAAAGTTTATTTTATTCGAATTCACACGCGCAATGCCATGAAATACAAATAGTATAATATACCTACTGTTTAACATAACATATTTATCTTTACATGTCTCTGTGAAATAACTAAGATATAGATCTATTTGTGGCCAAAACATTCATGATTTATCTAAGTAGACAAGATTAATTCACAAAACAACAGCACTCATCTCAAAACTAAAAGTGCGCATAATACAAAAGATGAAAAGTAAACATCTCAATCGGAGAAAGGCAAGCCCTGTTTGCTTAAAAAAGCTCTATCTCTAATGAGATTAAATTTATTTTCTTGTATTAGAAAGGCATTGATAGAGTACGAATTCGTAAATGTTGAAACGTTTGTTTTAATAAAAAATTGTGAAAGGTTTTTTTAATTAGAAATCGCAGAAATAGATTTCATACTAATCATCTTTTAAGAGTTATTTGACCAAACATCTATTTGTAATGTCATTTAATGATCATGGACACTTTCTCGCAATGACGTTACATTAAATTCTATTTTTCTATTATTTAATCTCATAAATCCCTAATTAAAGTATAGATATATATACTACAATATTTATAAACAGCTCTTTACTTTCTTTTTGTTGGAATTAAAAAAATAAATACGTTCATATAGAAATTACTTTTATGAGACGAAGTTTAAGATTAAATTTAAAAAATAACAATATAAAACTTTATTGAATATATAAAATATCTCATAAATATATCATATTAAAAACTTTAAAAGTAACTATTTAAAAAAATATTCCATAGCATACATTTTGCAGGGCATACATTTTTAACATTAGTTTACAAATAATTCAATAAATGTCAAGATCCTTCAAGTACTAATAACCGAATAAGTATAGGAAAAAATATATAGGTAAAATCACTAGTAAAAACGAGTTGTTATTATGACCACAGATAACATAATGTATTATATAAAAAACATATTTTATATGTATTTGGTTAGGTCGGCGCTCCTGATAAGAATCAACTTACGTAATTAAGATCTATTCAGAGGCGATGGAAGGGATATAGATTTCATCCAATCGTTATTGTTATCTGCAGATAATGAAGTAAAGTCACGTTCGCATATTTTTATGAATCATATAGTATGTGTTAGTTAGTTTTAACAATGTATTTTGGCGACGCATATTGGCACAGACTCACAAAAATATTTGAGAAGTGCGCTGTATATACAGTATTGAAATAAACAAGATATATAAATTACAATAGAAAGTATAATAATATATTCCCATATGTGATTTCATACGTTTTACTTGATATTGTAATTAAACAAGATTGTAATAAATGTTATTATTACTACGTATATTTAGGAATACAAATGTCAATATACTGTGTATTATGTCAAAGTAATTGTTGGTAGTGGTGAATTGGTGAACTATTCCTAATGTACCATTTCAGATCGACCTCCATTACCCATGGTAAATGTCCCGTTTATTTTCTGATAAAATTGGCACGATGGGCTGATATATATACTGATTTGACTTCATGCTCATCCCATCATACTCCATTGGTGCTCCGCCAGTACGTATTGTTAGCGCAGGTGGGTGCACAATATTATCGACTGAAAATATAACGACTATAAAACTATACCAAAATCACGATTCAGATTTTGCGTATTTAGTGTATTTTTTATGTAGTACATAAAAAATACACTCACATTGTGGACAGACTTCAAGGAGAGAACCCTTTTGAAGTCTGTTAAGTAAATGAGTTCGATATTACAAAACGTATTCTAGTATATTGACCGTCGATTTTATTTTAACAGCACAATAAAACATGCCTAAAACTATTACATCGACCATAAAACAAGTCGTTTCCAATGCTATAATTAGCATCTACGATATTGTTTACTACTGCATCTAAGCTAAAAGTAGCGTTAGCCCTGCTGGCAAATAATCATCATAACAATGTCTCAAGGGCAAAAACGGAGTTATAAACGACAGATGGATCGTATATATCAGTTATACTGCTACCTTGAACGATTAATTTCTACTTTACATAACAATTCATTTACATTTACATATTGAGATAAAAACCGTAAAATATGTTATAATATTGAAGATACATATTTCATGAAACTACTTCCCTACAATATATATATTTTGTGAAAGCAACACATCCCTAGAAATTTAGCCATAGACTTCTTTGGCAAATTTGAATTCTTCACCCTCCGGCCTAAGTAGCTATAGTAATAATACACCACTAAGACAAGATGCTCTCGTCGTTATAAAAAATTTACAGTGAATATTATATACATAGTTCAAGACGACACAGTTCAGTATTACATTAAAATTCACTATTCATAAACACGTGAATAATATACTATATTATATCAAGTGTATAAATAAGAATCACATAGATACAATCATGTTTGTATTTATAACTCACGTGTGTAATTAGTATGTTTACATGCAGTAGGTAATTATATAATTTATTGTAATAGCTCTGCTATATGTATATTGAGCGATATTACTGATAATTTTGTAGATACCTATCAATTACCAATAACAATAATCATTACTAGTAATGTAAATGTGAAGGTTGTGGCTCTATATGTTATTTTATCAAGGGTTAAACAGATACTCATGATATTTGAGATGACCAAGGGTGTACTTGAGGGCCTTGTGATAGAGAAGTGAAGATTTAAAATTAAAAAATAATCATTAGAAAGGGAGGGGAGGAGATAGAGGAATCTACCTATCTATATCCTTCTGTGTATTGCTATGCGATAAGTCAATAGGTATTACTTCATTATTACCAATGTAGTCGCATTGCACGGCTTTTACAATCCAACAGGCAAGCTGCCAGCTCCAAAAATCAATATCAAGCCCTGGGCATCTTATACAGGATGTACAAAACTAAATTCTGTAAACTACATTCTGTGTAAGATGTCCAGGGCTATTGTCTATGAAACTACATAGACAGTCTTATATATACTACAATACATACTCATATATAATGAAAATAGCTATAATAATGAATACAGATTATTTTGATTATCGGAGAAGGAACTGACAATGATGGGATAGTGATGTTTGTGGAATTGCTACCTCGGTGTGGGATACCACGATGAACGATGTTGGTAATTAAAAGCGTAGGATAAGATATGTATATATAGCGAATAATCTAAGTCGAATGCACGGGAAAAAAGTGTATTAAAGTAAGCTTAATAAAGCGTATTATTTATATCATATTCTTACAATTATAAAAACTACAAAAGTTAAAAAATACAATGTAGCTAGTGGTCCGAATGTATGGAAGTCTGTATACCACGTTCAAGTTTCAATAATTTGCCATTTCCTATAGTCTAAATAATAGGCATACTAGACCCTACAATAGTCTACGAAAATTCACAGAAATGTCTGCCTACTCATTGTTTTATTGTGACGTTATATACTATGTACTTAAAAACCCTATGTTTCACAATAGTAGGCATGTTTCTATCTACGTCACGGATAGAATACGTCACAATAGGCGATTACTGAATATGTTGAGAATACTAATGTAATATTTTTCTATGGGTTTACCACAGTATCGTAATAGTGCAAATAGATAGAAATTAGTTCCATGTTTCTTAGGGTGAAACGTGGATTACGGGAAAGCATGATAAGGCTGTTGTATAAAAAATTGTTAACATTATTAACTAAACTGAAGAAGATATGTACATTTGTCAAGTTTTACAGTTATTTGCTGTATCAACTTCTATGAAAATTTTCCAAGAAGTACAATAAAATAGACGAACATGGAATCTGTGACGTAAGTTTGATATTTAACAAATATAGGAAGTAATATTATTTGTACATATAATTATTATAAAAGAAAGTTTCCATGTATCATGTCTGTATGTTCACTATAATCTTAAAACATAATGAACAGGTTATGATTACATGCGATTTTCATATATTAGCAGAGTAATTTCTGAGGAAGGTTAGATAATTAATTAAGGTTTTGTGTAAATTGAAATACTCGTGAGAAGCCGGGGCTAGTCGCTGTTAAGAATAAAGAAATAAAGTAAGATCCAATCGCTCTACGCGTTGTAAACATGTCGTTAATTTTACTCTTTTATTACGGTTATAGATATGTCTTGTTATTCTAACTTCTATTTTAGATATGCATCTTTTTATATTGAGATTGAAAATGTAATTTGTACAGTTATTACACAATATTGAGATTGTTTATAAGTCATTAACAATATATTTTATAGTCTATTATTTTTTAAGCTATTTACTAATAAGCCTTTGTGTAATTTATCGTACCGCTACACGATATTCCATAATTTTACCGTAACGTTGTAACAGGAAGCAAAATTATTGCAGTTGTACTTGTACGTGTTGTTGTAGATACTTTTAATTTCCCTCGACGATGAACATCATGCCGTGCACGATTATTGCATAAGTCATGGACACTATAATTTTACAATAAGTTATAGAAAAACTTCACATATATCATAAACATCACTTAA